GTATCAAAGTAAAATAATACACAGTAGTAAACAAACATAATGTCTCACAATGCTCATTATAGTGCTGCCTGCTAGAAAAACATTTTGTTGACAGATCCAATGTCCATAAGTAGGAGAGTGGTTGAATAAATTGACATGTAGCTGCTATGAAATTAAGGATCAAATTAAAAATAGCCATTTACTGGATTAAGATTATCCCCACTGACTGTTGCTAAGTGAAAAAGGAAAATGTGGGTTTTTAAAATCTAAATAACATTCTATGTTGGCAAAAAGAAAAAAAAGATAAGTTGCATTTTTGTGTATGTAAGCCGAATTTGGTCCATATCTCCGTTTTAGTCAGCTGGGCTGCCATGACAAAATCCCATAGACCGGTGGCTTAAAGGACAGAAATGCATTTTCTCACAGATCCAGAGGAGGGAAGGTGGATGCAAGGTGCCAGCAGGTCAGCTGGTGACAGCTGCTATCCGGGGCTCTCTTTCTGCCTCACAAATTGCAGCCTGCTCCCTTGAGTACTCTCATGTGGCAATATGGCCTTTCCTCGGTTCAGGAACCGGGCAGTGGGGGTGGGAGGGATTGCATGAGTATTCTTTTTACAACATCAACCTGACCCTATCAGGGTTCTCCCTTATTATTTCACCTAACCTTAAATACTTCCAAATCCAACCACACTCAGGGACAGATCTGCAGTTTGAGGAAGGCACAAACATTGACTCCACACACTTCATTGGAATAAAGACTATATATTTCACTCTATTTTCTACAGTTAACAAGACATGGTAGAATAATAGATGATCCTTGGCATACGCCTACTTTTTCCTTAAAGAAATTTATCAATAACTGATTAAATTATATTCGGTAAAATTTGTGCAGTTGTTGTTGTTGAAAAACAGATTTTTGTTAAAGATGAATATATTCTGCACTTGTTTAAAATTAATTTGTATGTATTTGAAAAATTACTTTATAAAGGGACTTGGCAATCCTTACATTTAAAAAAAAAGTCAATGACATGATCAATTAAAAATCATAAACAAAATATCACTTTCACCAAACCATATTCTCCTAAGTTATTAAAAGTGCCAAAATGCATTTGAGAAAAACAAAATTGAGGTTTTATTTATTTTAACATAGAACAAACTAATTTTTACACTTCATATTTTATTCAATAATATATGCCCATTATTTTGGTGAATATAACTCAGCATCAGCATAATTATGTATCCCGTAAGTGATATTCATTATATACTTGTACATAAATTAAAGCATATAATTATACTTACTATATCAATTTTAAAATAGTCTTTATAAGATCACTGTGAGTTCTTTGGTAAGGGGAAATACACAGGTGATAAGGAGCAATAAAAATAGTTTGCACGAGAATTATGCAAATAAAGCGATGCAATGTCGTTTGCTTTTGTAAAATTAAGTTTTTAAAAAAGAAAAAACTTACAGTAATTTTATTTACCTGCCCAGGTTTTGCATTTTCACAAACAAATGTTTCATAGTACATGGCAAATTCTGGAGCATGGTCATTTATATCTAGAATTCTGATGAAGACAGGAATATGGCTAGTTTGTTTTGGATTATCTGCGAAGAGAACATGGGTAAGATTTCAGTCTCATTTAGCAAGAAGGAGTGAATAACTTGCCACATTTGTAGCCGAGCATCAGATCATTTTTGTAACATTCTTTATCTGAACTGGGTTACAGATGAATATCTCAGCTCTGTTACACAGTCTAATTAAAAGGATAATAATACTGAGGAAAGTGTGATTGAGAATGAAGTATTGTTTGTACTAGATAATTTCTTATCTTATTTTTATGATGTTAAATTTTATTTCTATCATATTATAAGGTGTAAAAGAAAATCATGTTTGAAATGAATAGTCATTTGATAGTTCTTGAAAGAGTGTAAAAATGGATTGATATTCTCAATAATTTCTCTAAGATCTTGCAAAGCAAACCATCGTTCCACTCAAGGAAAAGACTCCACTTCATGACATTGTTTTACCTCTTTGGTGAAAGACAGTGTGCTCAGATCAATGTAACTCCAACTTACTTATTTCTGTGGCTGTGACGGTGATGTTGTGCCAAGGGGAAGATTCCCGGTCAAGGGGCTTCAGTGTGAAAATAGAGCCATTTTCTGAGTTGATACTGAAAATACGATCCATATCAGTATGCCGATCAACTGAGTATCTGTCAGAAAAGAGACTCACAAATCTAGGTATTATTTAAGATTATTAGTTCTCCTACTATTTTTAAGTCATAGTCAATTTTCACAACGATATGACAAAGATGTAGAATTCAAAATGCTGATAACTTTCTTGAATTTTTATTACACAGGAACGATTCTTAAGTAATTTGATATGTTTGGCTGTTCCCATTGTTATTATTCTATGGTTACGTGTATGGAGTCATTATTTATACTACTGAATCTTGTGACAGCTTTTTAGTGAGTTTTTAAGTGATACTTGGTTCATTTGTCCTATCTCATGCAGTGCTTGAGCCATATGAAATTTGATAGAATTGATAGCAATTAATACATTGATAAATATGTTTTAAAATAATACAACTGTATCCACAGAGACCATTATGATTATGAGTGAAAATGAAGGAAATTACTGTAAAGTGTACTGCACTTTAAAGGTTTGCTATTCAAGGAGCATGTCAGCTGAATCAAGTTCTTCTAGTTTATCCCTCCAACATATTTTGAATAAAAATGAAATGTCATATTCACTGTGACTTTCTCCTTAGGGCTGGATAAAGAAAATGTCACCATAGGTAGCTTTGTATCACTCTGTTTGGTAAAATAATGTCTTCTCTCCCAAGCATGCCCATACCCTGAATCCCCAGAACCTGTAATTATGTTATTTTGCATGGCAAAATAAGGTTTGATTAAAAAATCATTACATCAAAATCCATACAAAAAATGTATTTGTACCTTAGCACTTTTCACAAAAGCAAAGATACAGAATTGACTTAAGTGTTTATCGTGGATGAGAAAATGTGGTGTACGCATATACCATGGGGTACTATTCAGCTATCAAACACAATGAAATCACGTCTTTTGGAGCAGTATGGATAAAGAACAGGACATTGTCTTAAATGAAATAGATAGCTCAGAAACATGAAGTCAAATATTGCATGTTCTTACTTAAAGTAGGAGTTAAATAAAATGTATACAAGGTCCGATAGAAGGAAATAATTAGACATTGGAGACTCAGAAGGGTGACATGGTGGGAAGATGTGGGATGTAAAATTAATGTGCACAGTGTACATGGCTGGGCTGATAGTCACACTAAAAGCCTGAACTTCACCATTGCATACTATAGCCATGTAAAAATTGCATTTTTATCCCCTGAATCTATAAAAAATAAAATAATAATAAACATTGAAATGGGAAAATATCCTTGATTATCCCAATGTGCTTCATTTAGTATTTGAGCCCCTAAAAGTGAGATGAGAAGGCTGAAAAGTGGCTTAGAGAGATGAGATAGAAGAAAAAAGAAGAAGAAAATTTGAAGAGTGAGAGTGCGCAGACTTGACCCCTCCTTGCTGGCTTTAAAGATGAAGAAAGGGAGCTGCATGCCAAGGAATGTAGGCAGCCTCTAGAAACTAAGAATGGTCCTTAAGCTGACAGCCAGCAAAAAACAGGAACTTGCCCCTCCAATTGCAAGGAATTGAATGATGCTCAATCTGAATGAGCAATGAAACAATTCTTCTAGAGTCACGGGCCAAGGAATACGGCCCTGCCCACACCAACACTTTGACTTTAGCCCAGCGTGGCTATACCAAACTTCTGACTAACAGAACTGCAAAATAATAAATTTGAGTTGCTTTAAGTCACTGCATTTACAGTATTTTATTATGCCACAACAGAAAATTAATAGACACTACAAAGTGAAAAGTTTGAAAAATGTTAGTTTATATGAAAACACTTTAGTTACATCAGATCATGGTATGGTGTACGAATTAATATTTTTACATCTTTCTGAGATTTCTGTTGCGAAGTCATTGACTATATAGGAGGATGAGGACTTCTCAAACATTGACATTCAGATGAATAACATGTAGATCTTGTCAAAGACAGAATTTGATTCAGTCGGTCTGGTATGTGGACTGGGATTATACATTTCTTAAAAAAACACTCTTCAGTAGCACCTGTGTTGCAGATCCGTAGACTGAACTTCATATAGAAGGTTTTAACTATGAGAGAAAGTGGTTAGAATGAGGACATATAAAGGGACAACAGTGAAGGACACTAACAGACTAATTAGCATCTGGGATAGTGCACATTTTTCTAAGTATCTCATTAAAGGTACTGAACAAATGAACTTTATTTTGAGCTGGTGAAGCGAAAAATTACAGTTCCCATTATAAATGTATGATATATTCACTAGTTGGCATTGGCCTTGACAAAAAGGTAATAGATATTTAGGTTTCTGCATATTGTTAAGATTGGCAATTTTTAAATTCTGGAATGAGAAAATATGTTAATCTAAATTTCTAAATTTCATCTGTTTTGGGACTATTTTACTAAAGGGTATATGATGTGGTCTATTAGCATAGGAATGATTCTTAACTGAGATCTATTAAGGAAAGTCAGATCTTGAAAGTAATTTTAGTAATTTAATATAGTACACTAGGTGTTCTCCTAATTTATTTTCTGCTAAACTTTGTAAAAAACTATTTCCAAATCATAGATAATGCTTCAAAGAGATTATTTGACCTTGTGAAAAAATGTATTGGGTTTATATCTCAGAAGTGGAAATGCTAAAAAATATTGTAAATAGAATTGGTTTCAAGATCTTTTCTGTACCTCATTCCCGATACACGGAACCAACTCAGTCACTTCCTTGTTGTCCTTCAGTAGAGTTGCACAATGGACAATAGAGCTACAAGAAAATGATAGTATGCCCTTATTTTTCCAATAATTGTTACTGAAATTTTCTTACATGGTGTTACAAAAAGCACTTGGAAGACTGAGAAGAAGTTCTTTGGCAAATAAGCACGGCCAAGAGTAGCTATACTTCTGGGATGGAAAATCCTAAGGCAATAAAGGATAATTAAGATGCTAGATTTAAAAATAAACATGTAAGATTTAAATACAATATTTATATTTCCAGAAACAAATGTTATATAAGATTTTAGCGCACAATTCATTGTCAGACAATTATCAGATTTATAACTGTTAATGTAGTCAAATTGAGGATGCCAGTTATATTAATGTTTCTCTTTCTTTAGCACAATTGCTAATTGTTCTAGAATAAAATGCTATTTGTCTTTTTTTAGTCCTCTTGCCGAAACAAAAATATATTGTGTTTCCTTTCTATAAATGTAAGCCTCCTACAATTTAGTTCCGAATGTGAGCTGTATGTACATCTGGGTACAAATGGCCATACCAGGTGTTTGAGGAAAAGGCAAAGTAAATAGTTGGAAATGATTTTTAAAGTTTTATTTTTCTTTCATAAACCAAATTCTGTTTGTGAATAAAGACAAAACACAAAGAAAGTGAAGTAAAAGATGGCCACCACCTCTATGTGTTGAATAGAAGTCAATTCACAATATTCAGCTGTAAATATTTCTCTTCATTGTTGGAAAGGTCAGTGGTTAACCATTATATGCTATGCCTGAATAGACCTCAGATTTCTTCCTACTGTTTGCATTGAAGATCAAAGAAGAAAATAAAATTTCCTTCTGTGCGCGTTGCTACTTGCCCTAGATTTTAGCATGGGGATTTCTATGACAGAAGAATAGCTAAAAATTCCCACATTATAAAAGTCAAGCTTTGACCCTCTTGTAGCTTATTTAGGATCAAATAGATCTAGTTTCTCACTTCCCTTTTAAAGTACAACCTCAAAGGCACTGTTTTTCATGTTAAGAACTCATGAAGGAGAATCACTGACAATTTAGAAACAGCTCACAGCGTTCACGTTGCACACTTCCATGTCAATATACAGAAAATTTTCTCAAATGATGCAAATGATGTCTCCCAATTTATCAAAGCCCACAGATAATTTTCTTTAGCAACCAAAATTCTATTTTCAACACAGAATAGGAACATTCTAATTTACCTATTAATAATAAATACATTGGATTACAGCAAATGACCAGAAAGAGCCTGATAAACACAACACAGAATGGAACTATCTTCATGTCCCAGCAGATGGCCTAGTTCAACAATATTTTATTGATCTCCCTGCATTGAATTTTCAGCAATAAGTTTAAAAAGAACGCAGGCATAATTTGTATGTGTGTGAATACCTTCTACAGAGACGGGATCTGATCATAAAAGCAGCAAATAACACAAGAAAAAGAATTCAAAAGAACTGAGTCCATGGAAGCTGATCTCTGATTTTTGATTTCTTTTTTGTTTTTCACTTTTATGTTTTATTACTGAAAATCAAACTAATAGTAGATTCCTGTATTTTTATATAACACAAAAATTTATAATCTAAATAACACAGTAGAGGCCAGGTGAAGTGGCACAACCCTGTAATCCCAGCCCTCTGGGAGGTCAAAGCAGTGGATTGCTTGAGCCCAAGAATTGAAGTTGCTATGAGCTATGACAATGCCCCAGCACTCTACCTTAGCTGACAGAGTGAGATTCTATCTTAAAAAACAAACAAATAAAATACCAAAGAAAATATAAATAAATAACACACTAGAACTAATCAGTAATATACAAAAACAGGGCAAGATAGCATTCATTTTCCTTGCCTTTATTGTAGGTACTTTTTCAACTGACTAAATCAGCCTGGTTAGGACATGCACTTACCCTTTTCTTTTCAGCTACTGCTTTTCAGAAATTGTTTCTTCCACTGTTATGCATTATAATACCTTCAATCCCCCTCAGAAAGTGAATATTGTCTGTATAATAAAATTATTTGAAAGAAAAATTTCAATTTTTTTTATTTTTAGTGATATTATTATGAGGTTGTTATATTTTTACTTTCTGCAGTAAAGTCAAGAACATTTCAGAAACACACCAAAGTACTGACATATTTGAATGCACATAGGCATTTGCTCAAGTTTTTGTTGGAATCATGTACATATTATTGAGGCCTACCTAAATCTCTCGTCAACAAGTTTGTTTCCTTACTTTTCAATTTGACAGAAACAGGAGCGATTTCTTCTAAATCATTGAACTTTACGTGACGCATAAAACATGTATGAAACCAGGTGACATGTTCTTT